TTACATTATACATTTATTTACTTTTAATAACATTATTGGTTCTGTTATAATCACGTGAGCTGTCACGTGGTGAGACGATTAAAAGGACACGTGTAGGGAATCGGAAGTTAGTTGGAATAAAACGGACAACATGTAAATTTATGTTGCGTTATTTATATTAAAATAACTATATAAAAGGCAAGTGTGAGAGTGCTTTTTACACCTTTCTTTCGGACGGCAACTTTTGCATGGCCGAAACGAGATATGATATTGAATTGAATTAAACCTAGTTCTATTGTATATCTTTCACTTTTTTTCTCAAATTTGAAGCTGAACGGCTCTGTCCTAGCCAGCGTGGCCGGCTCTTTTATAGGGCAGATAATTGATTATAAATGAGCCGGCCACGCTGGCTAGCTCTGTCCTGAATTGTCGCAGTTTCAACATGGCGGATATCACAATGAATTTGTATATGGCCAATGAATTAATTGTTATTGAAAAATAACAATTATACATGAATTCAAATCATTGCAACAATCGTCTATCTACACTTTAATGAAGATGGTATGATCCACCGCAAAAAATGATGTGCAAATTTACCCAAGATTTTGCGTATAAATATCACCACATGTTATGACATCACGATTAATGCTGTCACATGTTAAGACATGCGTACCCTGGGTGCCAGAGGTTTTTCCACGCTCGCAACGCAAAAAAATATAGTGACGGACGGGCGAGCGGGAAAAACTAGTAAAATAGCGTGCATGGTTCCAGAGGTTTTTCCCGCTCGCCCGTCCGTCACTATATTTTTTTGCGTTGCGAGCGTGGAAAAACCTCTGGCACCCAGGGTAAGACATGCGATACGTTAATACTGAAATAAACCATAACAATTTTATATTTAAATTGCAATTGGCATATAACTTTTTTAGAAAATCTATCTCATTATTCGCTCATAAGAATTTTCATCATTTTTATAATCATTTTTTGGCCAGAGACCGCCAGATTAATGCTTCCTACAATTTCAAGCTAGCGCTACGATAGATTGGGAGCGCTTTTTGATGTATCTATTTTAGAAGACAAGGGTCACGCGCGCAATGAGTTGTGGGATATCGTGTATCAAATTTCAAGTGTGATTTGCAAATTTTCGACTTTTTCGTTTGAGTATATTTTGCCCAAGAAGAGTCCATGGTATTTATCTTATTTTGTACTGGATAAGTGACTCCGAATCCTGCCGAAGGCTTATTGATCTCAGGTATGAAATATTATTGTTTATATCATATAATTATAACGTACATCGACCGTATTTACCCATTTTATCTTGTGCATGGCTGTTGGCCTGTTGTAGTGTTGTGGCTGCTAAAATTTGAATTTGCGCGCGAGGTTTTATATATTGAATTATTTCATTTCAATGCCGTCAAATGTTAGTTAAAATCAACAATTCAAATTTTGAATAAACACATAGCCTAGTAAATACTGGGTTTCACTTGTTTGACAAAACTCGAGAAAGCATGTTTGAACCCACATAGTATATAAAACAATATGTTAATATGAATATAAATATGGCTACATTGCTGATTGCTACAAGCCCAGTATTAAAGCCAAAACATGAACATTATTTGAGAGTATTAAACTTGAGTAAATCGCAATCTTATCTATCTGAATCATAAAATTGTTAACCCAATACTACGGATGTCACCGAAGTGTGCGAGCCACTAAAATTTCGCACGACCGCCACGCCCACAAAGCGTTAGCGACCCGCCCACAAACTTGCATTGTTATTGTATTATTGCGATTGTAGTATTTGTAGATTTCGTAGCGAAAAAATGGGAGATGTAAATAAATATGGGAGAAATTATGTGCGGGGAAAAACATTAAGCGAGGATATGGTCTCCCTTGTAATCGATGAAATAGTAGATATGGGTGGCGATACTGCGACAGGCTTTTTTGAACAGTACAGTGCAGTTGCTTCTAAGTTCAAACTATCTCCTAAGACTACGAAAAAGGTTTGGATGCAATTTTGTAAATCTGGGCAACTAAAGCCAAAAAAATCATGCGCATCTGGTGTCAAACATTTAAAACCTGAAGACTTAGACTTCATAGAATTCCTCAAGACTGATAAACCATCCATGTCATCAGGCGATTTGCTCAAGGAAGTTGAACGCCACTGTGTTATTCCCGAAGGGACAAGCCGAGAAGCGATAAACAGGGCAGTGAGGAACTTTATGCACGATGGGAAATGGTCGAGGAAAGTAATGTGTCGACCTGCCGCAGAAAAATTCACTCCAGAAAATATCGCTTATTGTCAGGAATATTTAAATTACGTTTCAACAGTAGACCCTTTTCGCCTTAAATTTTTTGACGAAGCAGGCGTAAAACTCCCTGATGTAGGGAACAGGGGCGGATCTAGGGGTAGTCAGATTAGTCACGCGACTAACGTAAAAAAAAGGCATTATAAAAAAATTTGGACTAAGGTTTTTGAATTTTTTCCCAGCGCAAACACTTCTCTTCATTTCTGATCACGCAATCAAAACTCTGTCACACTTCAGCATATAAACTTCGATCAGTTTTTGCACATTGAGCCAGCGATTGATTAGTCAAACGATAAGTCAAATAAGCGGTATTCAAATGAAAATTGACTATTCTGCGTTTTAGTTCATGTGATTTGATTGGTCAAATTTGCTCTGATTACACATTACAGACATGTTGATTGGTCAGACCTATTTTGACTAACGATTGCGAAATTTTGACTATTTTGACTAATTCTGCAAATAGATAACAGCCTCTGATTGGACAATTTGCGCAAAAGAGTTAAAGAACATCTCCTCTGATTGGCCTTCTAATCTTCAATTTGGAAGCATTGTGCACTTGGTAGCTTTATTGCAGTTTTGTACAATTTTACAAGCAATTTATTTACTATTATGGAAATGAACGACGTAGATTTCGAAAAGGTTAGATCGTTATTTGAAAGTGACGATAAGGAATGCTTACTGGTGTTCTGTGGAGAATATTTCAAGCAGATAAATTCGATGGATGCAAGAAAATTGTCTTGGCCGAAACTATCTAGCTGAGATGTGTTGATTTCTCGAATTCTCGTCGTCTATTTCAGGAGATTATAAAGAGGTGTATGGCAATAAGGTAAAGTGGTTTGAATTTTGAACAATAAATCGTTGAATTGAACGTACGATTTGCATAATTGTGCGAGGTTAGGTCCAAAGTTTTATATACTGCATACATATTCATTATGTGTATCAAATTAAAACACCTGAAGTGGCAGAAATTTGATCTCAAATATTTGATCATGTTGGATAAAAAATATTTATTGTGTAAATGCATTATAGAGTATTGATTGACTGATAATAGCTCTGCAAATGTACTTTATAAAGATAATAATAATATAATCTTTGGTTATATTTTTAGATCTGATGCAACTGGCAATTGCTTGTATAGCTCTGTTTCCTAAGCATTGACAGGTACCAATGACCTAATTTGACCTTGATAGTTTAAATATTTACAGTGCAAGTGTGAAAGGTCTATTTCGGCACTTATAGGACACGCTTATAAGGCTATAAGCGTTGAAAACTACTTAAATTAAATGACTTGGCTTGATCATGATGCAAATTCCAGGAAATTATTCCTAACATATGTACTGTAGGAAACATACGTTATTGATAAATTTTCTGGAACATGTGGTTAAAGTTAAATATCTCGGCTTGCAAAAAGACCACTCTCGCCTCCAATAGCAATTAATAACCTCACTCTTGTACACGACACTGACATGAGAAAAAACTTCCTGGGGTTTGGATCTTCATCATCAACCAAACTTAGCCTTTCAAGATCACCACCTTCCCATAATCCCCCCCCCCAAACATTCAGGCTTTGTAGACAAAAGCTGATGCCAAATAACGGGGTCTGATCTCATTGGCTTGAGACAGGTCCATTGCATCTTGAACCAGTTAAATTTTCAACAGACCAGGGCTTGAAATAACAACTGATCACCAATCAATAATAGGCAAGGGATTGCTTATGATCGGCGGAAAAGCAGGGTTTCTAACCTGAAAAAGCAGGGAAAGTCATGACTGCCAACCACCATGAACAGGAACTTTGGGAACATTATTTCAGGCCCTGACAGACAAACTCCATGTTGATAGTATGTGACTGTCTATTTACAGTATGTAAGCATAGTATAGGAATATAATAGAATACTGTCAGTGTTAAAACCTTGCCAATTTAATATTTCAGATAACTTAAGTAATAGTCATTTGTAACGAAATATTTTGTATTTGAATCGACTGTGATTAAAATATGTTTAAAATGCCAGCTAAAATAAACTTTTTTCTGTGTTGGTGTTGTGTACTCAGGTGAATAATATGTTCGCGATGTTACTCTGAGTGCATATCCACACCGGGCGAGCTTGAAAAATATGCCCGGCCACGGTGGGATTCGAACCTACGACCTTTGGAATACTAGCCCAATGCTCTTCCAACTGAGCTACGCGGTCAGGACGGTTCGTGTAAGCGATATTTCGGAACAGTATCTAGTTCCTTCAATACCATTTTTCAAGCTCGCCCGGTGTGGATATGCACTCAGAGTAACATCGCAAACATATTATTCACCTGAGTACACAACACCAACACAGAAAAAATCATATTACTAGAACACATTGGTATTGAAGGAACTAGATACTGTTCCGAA